GGAGGAGTGAGTTGGGATAAGATCCCATGCTCTTTCAGATAGTCATCGAACTCCAGGCTTAAGTATTCACCTCCTCGATCCGAGCGGAGGGTCTTAATACTTTTGCCTAATTGTTTTTCTACTTCGTTCTTGAATTCTTTGAATTTGTCAAAGCATTCCGATTTGTGTTTCATGAGATACACATATCCATATCTACTAAGGTCGTCAGTAAATGTAACGACGTAAGAATTACCACCTCTAGCTACAGTGCTAATTGGACCACACACATCGGAGTGTATGAGGCCCAATAAGTCACTCGCCCTTTCACCGTGACCGGTGAATGGAGCCTTTGTCATTTTACCAAGTAAACAAGATTTACATACATCATATGACTGGAAGTCAAATGAATCAAGTACACCGGAACGATGTAACTTAGATATGCGTTTCTCGTTAATGTGGCCCAAACGACAATGCCAAAGGTACGCAAGATTCAAACTGTTAGGTTTGTTTCTCTTAACATCTACGTTATATACTGCGGTATCCATGTCGAGGACATAGAGACCGTTGGTCATTTTTGCAGTTGCATAAAATATTTCATTTCTAAAGACAGAAAGAGTTTTGTCTTTTACAACGAACGAAAATCCTGCTTTGTCAAGGCAAGATACAGAAATGATGTTTCTGCTCATACTGGGTACAAACAGACAATTATTTAACTGCAATACAAAACCACTAGGGAGAGATAAACTATAGGTTCCGATGGCTAATGCATTTACGAGTGCGCCATTGCCGACTTTTAGTTGTATCTCTCCCTCCGTCAATTGTCTACGTTCATGCAAGTTCTGCATAGAAGTACAGATGTGAGAACCACATCCAGTATCCATCACCCAAGAGGTGATATCAGACATATTGACTTCGATAACGTAAATACCTGAGTTTTGGGGTTGACCCTGGTAAAGGTCTCTTAAGCATTGTATCATAGGACGCACTTCCATGTCCGCGTGGAGCCTTTGGAGCTCCGCGGTCATACTGTCCATAATGATACACTTTACATCTCGCGCGTCATCCTCATACTTCTTGAAGGAAGTGAGTTCGGACGCACGAGCATTAGCATCAGGGGTCTTGGGAGGATCCGTTTCGAGGATGTAGAGTTTCCTCTCACAGTTAAGAACGATTCGAAGGTTCATCTCCCAGTCAAGAAAGTTCGTCCCGGATAACTTGTTGTTTTCCAGGATGTAACGCAGGTTGAAAGGGTTGTTGTTGTTTGCCATCTATAGAAAATTTTGCAAACTAGGTTATCTATCATGTTTAATAATTAATTAGGCCTTTAATTAATTATCTTCCACTATTTTTAACAAATCAATAACCCTCGATATTGATTCGGATATTTCCGGCGAAACCTCTAGTGGGCCAAGATCCATATTTCATTATTTTGCGTTCCGCTTGGGCATTACTCCACAAGACAACTATTTAGGTAGGAACATAGTTCCAACTGATGAGCCGGGCTCTCAGCTCTTGGTCTGGTGTTGGGCGAACAATATTACTACAATCGGACCAGGACACCTTTTCACCGTACTTGTAATTGGCTGAGGCACGTCTTACAAGCAGACTACTTTGGTTAGGAACAGAGTTCCAATTAAATCATAAAGATCCAACTCCTGGCTGGATGAGTGAGTAAAATCATCCGACTTGTCATTGATGACCCCAACATACTGCCTCTGAGTCGTCCATCCATTTGACCGAGACTCAGTTAAGTCTAACCCAACGTGCGACAGCAACCACGCTATGGCGGTTCCTGTAACCAGCTTAACATACACCGTACTATGCTCTGCTGAGGCTGAGTACATGACAGTGCACATTAGCCGGATAGGTGCCGGGCGTCAGAGGGCAACAGACTTAATATTCGTGAGGGATTTATAATTTCGATCTCACCTATCGACATGGCCGCGCACATGTCCATTACTAGAGTTCAACATACATTCAACATGCATTCACAAAACGTAGTAAATAAACGTGTAATGATTGTGGCCCCTAAAAGAAAAATAAAACGATAGCTCCCACTGGCTTCCGGGCACTTGGACTTCGGGCTATCTCCATTCTTTTAGATTTCTTCAAACGTTCTTCAAATCTTTTCGTCTTCTAACCACCACGTGAGAAAAGAATTCTCGGTTGAGGTAAGAGAGAGAAATAGATTTACAACCAGAGTTTATGAGATAAGGCACGACACGCAGGCCGTATTATAATCAAATAAACTATAGCCACAATCATCCACCATGCATATCATACATCCACACAAGCAATAGAGATATACATACACCGGGTGAACCGCGCTCACCCCAGACAGTTCTAGAAAAATACTACGACAGTAAATATTTTCTAAAACTCATAAAATTACATTAGATGTCTAAATAAATCTAATAAAATTTTATAAAATCATTTTATATACTCTAGATATTCTGCCAGCATAAAAACAATATCCAGAATATTCCAAATGACCAAAATGCCCTTTTTGCAAAATTATATTCAAAAAGGCCATTAAAATTTTGAAACAATTTTGCAAAAATCATGAAAATTAAATTTCAACTTCTAGTAGTTATTTTAACATTTATAAACCTGGAAATAAAATTTCCAAAATTTATAAATCATTATTTCCAAAATATATTAGTTAAATCTCAATAAGTTATAAAAAGCCATTTAAATTGATTTCGAAAATATTAAATTAAAAAAATTTAATATTTTGAAAAACTTTTTTTTTCTTACTGAGATATAACTTTCCAAAATATATATTAGTCATTTATGTAATTAAAATACAAATATATAAATATATATAATATTTCGGTAATAAAACCGAGTACATATATAAATATATATTTATTTAATTACTAAATAATATTATTTTGAACAATATATTTATCAACAACCTTATTCAACTTAGAAATAATATTTCCAAGTTTAATAAAGTTCATTTTGAATTTTCCCATATTTATTTTTGGTTTTCACCTAAATAAATACAATAAATTCAAAATAGGAAATAATACATTCAAAAATTACAATATAATTTTATCAATCATAAAATGCTGTTTTATGTCCGAATAATATTATATTTACTATTTCTACAATATATATAAATATATATTTCGAAAAATCAAAATATATATATTTATATATATATTACGGGTAGAAATAAAATAAATAAATTTAGAATTCATTTTCAATGATTTATTTAAATCCAATACTTATTCCAAGACTAAATAAAATCATTTTACCAATTTTTGAATTTTAATAATTACCAAGTTAAAACTTTGACTTTTAAAATTTTAAAAGTCAAACGTAAAACTATAGTTTTGTACGTTGGCTCCGATACCACTGAAAGGTAACCATGCAAGGATAGGCAGCGGAATACAAAAATTTTAACATCCTAACATGATTATCTTGCCCAGAATCACGTACTAAAACTTATAGTAATTAAGAATTCATACCTTTCTCCGTAAGTGGTAAAAACGAAGAAGTCGTAGGAAGAGCGTTGAAAGTGCAAACGTAACCGTTCAAGCGTCCGGTCTCCAACTTTGACACACGAACAACGCCGGTGTCTACCACAATCTTTATGCTAGTAAAGATTATAGTAGTATAAAATATAAAGATTAAAATTGGGATAATAGTAATCTTGTATATTTCTATAGAAAATATTTCTAATAATATTTAGAAAATATTATAGATATTTTCTATACACAAAAATGATATTAATGGAACACAAAATATTTTCTCTCACTAAAATATAATGGCCGAAAAACTCACCCAAAGGAATTGATAATCTTCACCATTATAATGTAATAGCCGTGTAATTTAAAACAAAAGATTAATAAACTCTTGTCATTAAGCTAAAAGTTAAACTAATTAATAAACTTTTTCAAAGATTGATTTTGTGATCTTTTAAATCACTTTGGCCGAAATGTTTGATTGTGAGAAGGATATTTGAAATTCTTCTCCATTAAAATGTTCAAAGTGTATTTTATTTGACACCAAAAATTAATTTTAAATCAAATAAAAATACCAATATCATTTTAAACAAGTATACAAATATACTTTAAATAGTTTATGTCAAAATAATTATTTTCATAATTAAAATGACAAATCAAAATAAAATATTCAACATATAATATATATATATATATATATATATATATATGTATATATATATATATATATATATATATATATATTAATCGGCACATATATATAATATATATAACCGAATATTTATATATATATATATTATTATATTCCAAAATATTTTATTTTACTATTTTTTTACAAATATACAAATTACTTATTATCCCATTGTTTAATCCTATTCTTTAAATTGTCCAAAGTGTGTGACCCGTATAGGCACTTATAAAGCTGGCCACAGTATTCGCTCTGCACCAATACTATAAGCAATAAGCGGTATGTAGCAACACATTATTGCCCCCAGATTATAAGTTAAGACGTTTGCACCGTCAAAACCTTTCCACGACTCAGACTCCATGTAACTGTATCCCTTTGTCTCAATGTCTAAACTTAATGCAAGGGATTAATAAAATCCAGCTTGTATCCATTAAGTCATTCACTGATTTATCAAGTCTGACTGATAGGAACAGACGTCATAAAAACATCTCAGCATGGCCATGCAATTACCTCAATCATAACTTATCAGTGGGGCACATAAGACATTAATCTCTTTAAAAAAGTAGTGACAAATCCTATGTACGTAATCTACGTTTCTGAATACGCGTTGCGGCATATCCAAAACAAAGCCTGTATACCATCCTTATTTCATATGGCTTAGGACAATGCATCAAAGTATGCAGGTTCACATATGCAGAAAACGTAATACTTCAAGTCGAAGGATAGTTACACCCGTGGTCGCACTAAAGATGCTTAGAGCATGAAATAAAAGTTCAAGCAACATCTTTAGGATGGGTCAGTCAGGCATCCTATTATCTCTAGATAATATCTGCCCATGTGCGGATGCGAACACACCGTCATTGACCATGAGACTAAGTCAAACATCCAACACACACTAGTCTCACCTGCATTAACGATATCCCACTCTCGTTAATACTCGACTATGGACATTTAGATAAATATTTATTTCAAGATGTTAGTCTCATCAGCAGAATAACACTATCTGATTAACATCTTTAAATATAAATCTAGGAATATAATATTTATTTACATTAGCATGAGATGTGTAAACATATTATATCTGCCTATTTATGATAGAATAACGATAAACAGTTGGCCATCAGGGCACAACTCCAACAAAATCTTCATCAGCCATACTTTCACGAAAACATGTTGCGATTGTAACGCACTCTTTAAAAAATGTATTTTGTAGTTGGTTGGTAAACATGCGAAAAAGTAAGAGTTGCGTTATTAAAAACTTCTAATATGGCATTTAATTTTTCAACAATAACAAATTCAATAGGTGAAATGATTATACGAAGTTCAGAGCTAAAAAATTCAGCAAGTTCCTCTTTATAGCTTAAAATATGTGATATCAACTTGTAAGTACTATTCTATCTGATGTAGATATCTTTGGCAAATTGTACTTCTTTTTCTACCCTTAGACTTACAGAATATCTTCGAGGACCTAGAAATAAGACGAGACCCCCAAATTTTCCTAATTCCTTCTTTAATATTCGTCAAAACTCCTCCCATAGCTTCTAGTCCCTGTTGAACACTTAAATTTAAAACATGATAGACACAACGTTGATGCAGAAATCTACCCATAATCATAGTAGGGGGGCAAATTTCTCTAAGTCTAGGAATGGCAGCAGTATTATTAGTAGCATTATCAAAACCAAATGAAAACACTTTATCAGATAAGTTGTATTCCCGCAGAATACTCTGAAGCAATAGAAAAATATTTTCAGCAGTATGCTGATCATTGAAATCACGAAATGCAAGAACACGTTTATGCATAATCCAATCACTATCTATCCAATGACAAGTAACACCCATATAAGACAAATTATGATAAGTTTCACCCAAAATATCAGAACAAATAGCAACACGAGAATTAAAATTAAGAAAAACATTTGCCAAATTTATTTTTTCAATTTTATACTGGCGAATAATTTCTCGTTTAATTGATTTTCTTGAAAAACCTCGTGCTTGAGGGTTTAATGCCTGTTGACAATAATCAATAAATCCAAGTTTTTCAGAAAACATGTATGGCAAATTTTCTTCACAAGTCATTTCGGCCATTTTTTGCTTATTTTGCTTGTTGCTATAAGCAAAAAGGCCTCCCTTACCCCTGTTAGCAAACCGCGAAATTTGGGTTTGCACTTCTGGTTGTCCCTGCTTTTTCGCCGCGTATTTGGCGTACTCCACGGGATGCCTCGACCTTAGGTGTTTTTCCGGACCGCCATAACCGCCGGAAACTCTCATTTTAATGACGGCCCCACAATATTTACAAGTTCCATAAACTATGCCATCTTTTGTTTCTTTTTCAAAATGATAAACAAATAAATCAGATTTTAATTTTTTTTTACATTTGTCCGAATCTCGAGAGGTCTCGGGCTCACCTGCCTCCACGTCGACGTCGTTGCTGTGTGGTGTAGGCTCCTCGTCCCTGTCCAGATTATCCAGTCTTGCTTCATCAACATTTTCGAATAGACTATCAAGAGTGGGGAGATTCGGGTCCCGTCTACCAGAATAAATTTGGTCGAATTCTTCATCCGTCATACCGTCCCCGATGAATTGATCGGGGATAGTAGGAAAGGAAGAGACGGAGTGTCTTCCTCGAGAACCGCGTGAGGTCACACCGTCGGAGGTGGCTTTAGCTTTGCCTTTCCTCAAACTTCGGTTCATGGCGCCCATATCCACGGACCTTCTACCAGACTCTCTCGACATTTTAATATATATATTTTTTGATACAAAAAAAATAATATATTAAATTTCGAAAATTTAAAAAAAAAATTAAAATTTTATATATTAAAATTTCGAAAATTTCAAAAAATAAATAAAATATAAACTATATATTTTTTGATATTAAAGAAAATAAAATATTAAATTTCGAAAATTTAAAATAATTTTGAAATTTATTTTATATATTAAAATATAATATATTTAAAAAAGAATATATAAATGAGATAATAAGAATAAGATATTAAGATTGAGAGATTGAGATTTGAGAATTGAGAGATTGATAGATTGAGAGATTGAGAGATGGATTGACTGTGATTTTTTAAGGAGAAAATAGAGGTATTTATAGGATATTTAATCCCCCTCCCCTGCCCCCTCCCCCCTCAAACGGCTCAAGAGCCGTTGAGGCCACCCCCCACTAACCCTCATCGGTACCGGTTCCCGGAACCGGTGATCCGTCTCGGTCGATGGTGACGGTGCTCGGTACCGGCGGTACTGTTGCCGGTCACGGTACCGTACCGGTACCGTGTCCACCTCTAACCATGATCACTCCTTTGATGTAAATATTATTTTTTTGGAAAATTATTAGATGGGCCGAAGATCCATGGTGGACCATCATATATTCTAAATAAGCATTTTCAAGTTGTTGAAATAAGTACTCCCTCTATCCACCATAGAAAATATAAAATCCTTATCTACTTATTCCAATCTAATTGACCAACCATAAACAAAACAAAAAACCAGACTCTACTGGTCGATTCAGAAAACACGACGCAGCCCAACCGATGCTTGGCGTTGTTTCTACCGACACCGCTGCAATTTGTGCATTTTGTATTTGAGCTTGTGCTTTTTCTCTGCTTTTACGAAATTTTATTATGTCTTTGTAATTTAAAGGCTAAACTCCACTATTGGTCCTTCAACTTTATTAGTTGTGCACGATTGGTCCTTCAAGTTTCAAAAGTCCATAAAGAGTCCTTCAACTTTATGAGTTGTGCACGATTGATCTTTCCAGTTTCAAAAGTTCATAAGTAGTCCTTTAAGTACACGTCACCCCTCCAGATGAGGTCCTTTTGACGGTAAACGTTAAAAGCTAAATGGAGTGCTAATTCCATATAATACGAAGTAGTCGTACCTAGTGGAATTTACTCGTATTATATGGAACTAGTATTCCATTTAGCTTTTAAGGTTTATTGTCAAAAAGACCTCATCTGGAAGGATGACATGTACTTGAAGGACCACTTGTGGACTTTTAAAACTTGAAGGACCAATCATGCAGTACATAAAATTAGAATGGGTTTCTAAACTATACCCATCTCACAAAATACTCATCATCAATTGAAAAATGAACATTCAAGGGGGAGTGTTAAGAAAAATATGAATTGTTCATTTATCAATTAATGAGGTAATGCTCCATCATAAGTTGCAGGAAGAAATTGTCCATCATCACCATCAAGTTGTCATTTGTATAATATGTATACTATTTGTAATAGTGTTAGCACTAAGCCTCTCTTCTATAAATAGGAGGCTTAGGATCCATGCAAATCACCATTAAGAACAAGAAGAAGAGTGACGAATCAATAGAGAGAAGAAATCAGAAATATATCATATTTATTTTCATAATCTCTGAGTAGTTTTTCTCTCATTTCATAACAAAAAATACAAATTAGTGGCAAAACTTTATTATTTATGAAAGAAGTTTTAAAAGCAATCCAATGTATCTTATTTACACAAGCTCTTTCAAATGGCACATGAATTTTCTTTTGGACATTTTTACAAGCAACTAGTTCCGTACCCGTGCGTTGCACGGCTAGTAATTTGAAAAAGTGTAATAATGTGGTAATTTGACCTATATTAGAAAATGAGAAGTAATAATTAAAGTATTTGATGATATTGTAAATATTTCAAACATAACAAAACGAAATTGCAGAATGTTGTTAGAAAAGTACATATTAGAAAAAATAAAAGGTTCTGAAAAACTTCTTTGTAAACAACATTTGATGTGGTATTCACAGCGGATGCATCGTCCTTGCAAATTAAAGCTTTTAAACCACGACGATTTGTTACTCGAGAGACAGCAACATAAAGTTTTCCATGACTAAACACTGGTTTTTTGAGAACTAATCCCACATGCTTCAATGACTGGCCTTGACCTTTGTTAATGGTAATTGCATATGACGTCATAATCGGGAACTACTTCCTTTGACATTTGAAGGGAATCCGTGTATCTGAAGGTGTGAGAGAAAGTCTTGGAATCACAACCTCGTTCCCCACATTCCTACACCCCATCACTCTCCCTTGAATCAAGTGATGCCCTAGTCTAGGAACAATGAGTCTTGCTCCATTGCATAAACCCATAGATTGATCAATATTCCTCAACAACATAATCAGAGTTCCCACCTTCAATTTTAGTTCATGGTTAGGCACTCCAGATGCCCTGATATTGTTTAAGAATTCAGGGGAATGCAAGTTAGAAATGGCATCAAAATTTGAATCTGATTTACAAACACTATCTGAGCTTAGGTAAGTCTTTGCTTCTCCAACTGCATTCATACTTGTCATGTAATCATTTATTACATCAACCACATCCAATGTTGGTGCGAGAATTGCACGTTCTTGCAAATACGTTGGATCTGTTGAAATCTTATCGAAATCAGGATAAGTGGCTTGAACGATTGCCGCGACAGGATCACTTGCAAATACGTTGGATCTGTTGAAATCTTATCCAAATGATTAGTTTTGTTCGCAAGAGTAAATCTGCTTGAGGTGTTCCATGTTTAACATTGCAAGTGGAGTTTTCATGTGGACTTATTGGGATGCCAAATCGCGAGTGCGCAGTCCTCCCCCTGGAAGTAACAATGATGCAATATCGCTTGAAGCAACGTTTAATACTATTTCCCCTTTTGAGCGCAATGCGGCTGATAAAGTCTTCCACACGAAAGTCTTACCTGTACCACCGTAACCATAAACAAAGAAAATTCCACCCACTCCATTCTCTACAGATGTCATTATTGCATTGTATGCATCTAGCTGCTCCTTGTTCAAGGAACTCATCATGTCAACATGTTCACGTGCTAACTTTGTTCGGTCATACTGAAGTTCATCTAGTATTAACCTGTTCTGCGTGTTTGAAGATGCATCCATACTTGGAAAAGGCATTTCATCATAGTCACGAAGACTTTTCCAATGTGCTCTAAGAAGCATCTCTACCTCAATCAAGGCATAATTTTTTATTTCATCTTCACTTAGGACCAAACCTATACACAAAGATAATACACTTTCATTCTGTGGTACTGTTTGAAAATAATGTATTTATTATTAATAACTCTTACCTTGATGGCCAAGAAGGATTCGTTGTCGGTGAAGTATGTCATCTGCCATGCATTCCCAACATTTCTCCCAAACATGCTTTGGTCTTGACATGGACACATTTGTCAATAGGGTGATAAATAAAGTGCGCAATTGTGTTGCCGAACACCAATGACTTGCCTCAGTAAATGCATCTATATATTCCTTGTCATCGTCTAATAGTCCGAGTGCATAACATGCATCACGGTAAGTGTCGTGAACAATGTTATCGACAGTCTCCAAATCATCGTAACTTGTAGGGCCACCAATAATGTTTAGCAACATTCTCAAGTAATAGGCCTCTCTAGAACCGGGCAGAATATATACGACTCTACCAATTGCAAAACCATTTTTTCGTGGAAAGTACTCTCTTTTTTCGGCTTTCCAGACAAACTTTTGTGGAAATTCAGCATAAGTATGCATTTTGGCTGTTGGGTAAGAGGCATTTGCTTTCATACATGCCAGGAATTTACTCTCTCGTATGCTCTCACGTCGGTAAACTTCGATAACATCATCATCGTCTTCAAAAAAAATCCATTGCTCTCCTGGTAAATGAAAACTCAATCGCTCAATAGGGGGGAATTTAAATTGGATTGGATATCCAAGAATTCTCCAAGTTGCTTCTGGAGGAGATATGTATCTACAATCATAATAAAGTTGTACCTCATTAGGTTGATCTACCACAGGATTTGTTGTTGTCTTTGCGCTTGCATAAAATCCAGCGGTGTCACGATCATGTCCTTTGTTGATGTACTTAAATAAGTACTTGATAGAGCGTGATTGGTTGCACCATTCACATTTAAGGGGGTGTATTCAATTTAGATTTTAAAAGATTTTGAAAGATTTCTTAAAATCCATGGATTATGTAAAATCTATGGATTGTTTTAATTCTACACAGAGTTAGATAGATTGTAATGTATTTTATCGATAGGATTTTAAAGGATTTTGTCTGATTTATTAAAAAACTTTTCCCAAATTGAAAAGAACTTTTCCCAGGGAGCTAAATACGGCCCAGACTAGTCTTCCTTTTCATTCGGACCATTGGAGAGCCGTCTCCAAGCCACTGCCATCGTTCTTATGTCTCGTTCTTATGTCTTCTCGCTGAGGAGCAACGCTGCCAGAGAAGATGCCATCGTCCAGGAGCTTCGTCCATCACCCTTCGAGCCTGCAATCCCGCGGATAACCATGGCCAAGGGAAGGGTCGAAACCCTAGGCCGGCGCCACCGTCCTTCGTTGCCTGTGCTTCCGATCTGTCCAAGCAATACGTGTTGAAGAGAGATTAAAATCCTTACAGAGGCCAAGGTCGCAGATCTCAATAGTGAAGGGGTGAGCAAAGTTGGTTAAAATCCTTTGTTGTTGCAAGAGATTTTCGATACGATTTTTGCGGAGAAAAACAACAGCCAAATCCATCAAAATCCACATATAATAAAAATCTTTCAAAATTTATGAATTGTTTAATACCATCATATTTCAATAGACATTTTAAAATCTAAATTGAATATCTTCAGATTTTAAGTAACTTTTTATAATCTCAATTGAATACCTACAGACATTTTCAATCTAGTAAAATCCTATGAAGTCTGGATTGAATACACCCCCCCTTAAGTGAGCTCCATATTTAATCAATAGATCACGGTTATGGGGACCCACAAACCTATTATCCAACTTCACTCCGTTTTTTGTAACAGTTTTCTAATCATTCCTTCTCTTGTATTTAGAATAATCATCATCATCTATGCTTGTCTACTCATTAAATTGTTTCGGAAAATACTTTGAGCACTTTCCATCCTTCATGCAAGGTGAATTTTTTTTTGGTTCCCGCAAGGCCCATGTATCATAAAATTTGAAACTGCTTTAAAATATTCGGGATCCACAGAGTCGTCTGGCAACTCCGCGGAAATGATTTTATCAATATCGTTTGGTGTAGGAAATTTATCAGCTTTTCTGAGAAAAAGTAAGATGTGTGCATGCGGCAATCCTCTTTTTTGAAACTCCACAGTATACACCACTGCAAGAAGAACAAATATTATATACAGTAAAACAGGTAATTTGTTATCCTTTGTTAGACAAATGTGCAACTCTAGAGGAGGGGTGAATAGAGTTGTTTTCAAGAATGTGCGTTATTCGCGTGTGTGAAATAGTAGAATCGCAGAAATAAATAAAGAGAGTAAGGGAAAGAAGAACACCGAGATTTATACTGGTTCACCACCTCGTGGCTAGTCCAGTCCTCCAAGAGACTCTCTCGAAAGTCCTACTAATCTTCAAGCTTCAACGGGTGCTTGAAAAACCGGTACAACTTGAGAACTTGAACCACACAAGTCTCACTTTCTTACAACAACAAGACTTGAGTCACACAAGTCTTTAGAAAAACACTCAAATGAGATTGAGTTTACAACACAAGAATGAAAGGTCACACAATTGAGCAAAGTAGTATTGAAGGATTAAAGCTCTATGGATGACAACTTCTTTAGCACTCAAAAAAATATTTCTAACTCTAAAAAATAATATTTGATGAGGAAGATGAAGCAAGGAATGAATATAGCTCAAAGGGTATATTAGAGTGCAAGAGTAGTGTGTAGAAATGAAGGAGAATGAGGGATTAAATAGGCTAAGGAAAATAAAAGATCTGTTGGAGCAGATTGAGAATAGACACCAGACAATATTAATCGATTAAGGTAAAGCTTTTAATCGATTAAGGTGTACAGAAGCGAAAAGGTCTTCTGCGCAGGGTGCAAATTAATCGATTAAATTTGACAAAATAATCGATTAGATGGCGCTGTCTCAACTAATTGATTAAATGAAGAATAAAAATCTATTAAACTAAAAGCCTGAGAAATCCAGCGCTAAGGAGCTGGATCTAATCGATTAAAAGTGAATTGGCTTATATTCGTTTGTTTGAGACAAGAACGCTCCTCAAGAGAAAGTATCCCTTATTCAATGAATTTGACTAGGGGAGAAAAAGTGAGTCCAAAAATTATTTTGTGTGTCAAACGATGTACACAAAAAATATTTAAAGTATATTTTTCTTACCACAAAAAAAAATTGTGTATTCTTAAAAAATGTTTTTAAGAAATTTTGACACACTTATTTTGAAGCTGACTCAGTAAAATATTTTTAGACAGAGGAAAAGTAATTTTTCAACTGACTCAGAAAATAATAATTTTTATCCCTCAAAAAAATAATTTGTTTGTGCAGAAAGAAATCTTCGGAGTCTTCACTTCACTTCAAAAACTTCTGCGCAGGGGTAAGCCCTGATTTTATCTTGATACGCCTCTTTGCTTTTCTCGATACGAAAATAAATTTTTGATCAGCTTGAATTTAATCATCCTGTTTGTCATTCATCAAAAAAAATATTCCAGAAAAAATAGTAAAGGGGTTTGAACTCATGTTCAACATCCTTGAGTAAATTATATACAAAAATTCTTGTAGAAAATTAACATGTATCATCACTAACCTGCTCGAACAACACCAAATTTTTTTTCTTTTTTATATCTTTGATAAGTCCTTTCAGCTTGACGTTAAACACTCTTGAAGTGATATCAGGGCGGTCTTCAGGGTTTAAGTTCCTCGGTTTCAGAAAGCGTTCAATTTCTTGCCATTTTGGATTACATGTGAATGTCAAGAAAAGATCAGGATAACCTGTCTAGCGACATATAGCCATAGCATCTTGATAGTTCTAAATCATGTACCTAGCACCACCAACAAAAGACACTGGTACAACAACGTGTTTCCCTTGATGGATGAATCATTATCACCACTCAACAATGAGTCTGAAAACTTGTTATACATCTCACACCTAAGCTTTTTCTTGTGCGTGCTTATGTAGGTCAACCACGCTGATTCCATCATTGTGTAACCATCAACACATAACTCTTGAAATAATCACCGTGAATGCAAGATAGAAGTACGCTCAGCTATTCTTTCATGAATCCTATATGACAGAAATTCTCGGATGTTAACACTCCTTCTACCCCCAGTTGTAGAATCCACATTATCAGCGAATGGTATATCTTCCCGATAACCATCATCACCATACGGGAACAACAATGGATATTGAAGGCTCAAATACGTAGGATTTAACTCACTAATTCGCTACAACGGGCCAGCTTTAGTTTGAATCAAAATGTCTCGCTCTCCTAGTCCCTGGTTAATATCACCAACAACTAATGTTGCGACTTCTCCAACTGATGGAAGATTATAGTTCCTTGGGTCTGATGTTCTCTTACCAATCAAACGAAGATGGACATCTTCTCCATCCATAGATAAAAGCCTCTCTCCTATCATCCTAAAGGACTTCACCAGTACATTGTGCAAGTCTAACATCGACCGAAGCTTGGCAACTATCTCGACATGCAATGTATTCACATGGTCTTGTTTCCTTTATTTGAAATCAAGGATTTGTTAAGAAAAACCTTTGTTTAAAGTGTTAAAAAATAATAAGTTTTAGTACTTTTTATAAATACTTGAGATAAACATGTTACGTACCTGACAGCTCTGATCATATTCATGTCTTCATTTTGTGTATCATATATATAGAGCTGTGCAAATTTTGGGACAACTCCTGACTTTGAAGGTTGGAGGTCCTCATCCAGATGTTGTATCCCTTTCTATGCGTCCTCCAAGTGGTGTGAAAGAAAACATACAATTGTATGATCGAATGTTAGTTTGAAAATGTTTGCTTTCCGCATCCGTGCCTAATATCATGTCATATAAAGGAGCATGTGGAGGTTGGATCATCGCAAGCTTAACTTTATTATGATTGCAGCACATTGCATATTTTGGATTCTTGATCGTAGACCGATTTTGAGTTCTTTCTTCTAACCAAAACAATGCACCACAATATTCACATGATTGAGTACTATCCCCTATATCCCAATATTGTACCACCTTTGGTTGTCTTCGGTAGGGCCTCTCCTTTGGCATATTTCTTTCCTCATCGTCACACTCGTTGAACTCCATCTCCAAGTTTCTCATTGCATCATTACCCAATTTGTTGTGATCATCCAATAGATCAGAATCGACATTCCAAGTTTGATGAATTAAATCGGTAACGGTTGATCACAAATTATCCTAAATTAGAAGGCTAGAAAGTATAAATAGGGGACACCTACCACGACTTGCGAGGCATTGACGTTTTTGGATTACATGTTTCTTTGTCACCGAACTGTTATTTTGGTCCATGTATGTCGACGCAAAATGTGACACAAAAGAATTGAAATGTGTATTACGAATAGGGGCGTTGCGGTCAAACAGCATCGATGATGAGACTATTAGAGAATGTTGAATTTCATTAATATGGTAGATATAAATTTGAAATATTTTTTTGTAAAAGAATTTGAGAGAAACATACCATTAGTTATGTTGCTTAATGGAGTTATCGTCCAATCAGTTGCGGTGGAAGTCGTGAGAGTCGGAAGCGTATGTGAAGGAGAATTTCCATGGATAAGGATGCTTGAACTTGATCCAATGCCCGCTATTATAACTCGAGTCGTTTCCCATTTCATTTTCTAAGATATTAAAAAAATGTATTAAGAATTTTATTAAACATTGAATACAAACCAAAAAAATTATTTTTTGCATAAGAATAATACATGTGAAACACAACGGGTAAGTATTAGACATGTTTGAGTTTAAGTATCAAATTGAGTAGTATATAAAAAGCGTACAATTATTTTTAGTCAATTGTAATCTAATACGTGAAATATAGTTGAATCCAAAATGTGCGTACACATATTTTTTCAATAAATAGTAGGGATGCAAAACAAAGAGTGCTTACATAGATTTTTTAAAAAGTACCAAGGATGCAAAACAAAGTGCTTACGCATCTTTTTCAAAAAGTACCAAGATGCAAAATAGTTCTTACATAGGTCACTTTTAAATTCATCCCCAAGACAATAAAAAAAAGCATACACCTTATTTGATTGTATTAATTTTCTAATAGAAAACCTAATTGGATTTAAAAATCCTTCTGTTTGGAATTTTTGCTCGGCTGGAACGTCTAACGGGCAACCCAACAATACTTGGAATGTCTGATGTGGTAACACAATACTTGCATAAGAAGTAGTCCCAATCAATTTCGGCACAACCAATATGCAGACACCTCAAATGACCCCAATAACTGCACTTCCAACATAGTTCTAGGTCCAAGTGGTCACTCTTCTTTTTACATAAATCACATGATCGCATGATACTTCCAAATTCTGATATACGAAGGATATTGATGTATGATTATATATGAGGTAACTTAATATTAAAAAAAACTTTAAAAAATTTAAAAAAATCATAGAAATTCATTTTAACTTGAAAATTAAAATTAGTGTAAGTATAACTGCCCAGCCCACAACTTAAAACCCAATTCAGAAATTTTTTTAATTAAATTGGGTACAGCCCATATATAATAATCCAGCCCAAATTCGGAGTATTGCCCAGCCCAAAAGAAATAACCTTAACCCCCCCTCCTGTTAACCCTATCCACTGTCGATTACCACCATTGCCGTCATCACTCTTCTCGCTCATCTCTCTACCGATGCCTGGTTGAAGAAATTCAATTCTTCCTCTGAATTTTCTTAGAATGATCGCAATCGAATTATGGTTTGTAGAGCACATTCGGGGGTTTCTCCAGATTTAAATGTCAAAAGGTATTTTCAGAATTTATTAATAATTTTTTTGTCAAAGATCGGATGGAATAAGATGAAGAAATCTTATTCATTTATCACATGCATGCCTATTTTTCTTAAAGATCCGTTGGAATCATTTTTTTGAATATTAAACCAAAAGATCTACCTTTTTTTAAACAGATTTGTTGTATTCTGTTATGCACAACTTGTTTTTTAAAAACTTTTTAATTTGCAGTTAGAGAAAACAATTTTTTTGTGTATTAAATTAGATCTCCAGAAAAATTGTCTACTTTTTGATTTATTAAAAGTACATATCCCAACTTCTGAAATTGTTACCAATTTTTGTATCTAAAAATTATACATCCAAACTTCTTTTCTGTAAATGTTTATTTTTTTTTATAAACACAATAGATTTTTGTTTGAATTTAAGAAACTTGGTTTCCTTCTCTTCCGTATAAAAAATACTCCAGAATCTGAATGAAAAAATATAACATCTTCCTTTTTCATTAGAATTGAATTTTTGAGAATTATACTTGAATATAATATGTACTAATTTGAAGATGTTTCAAAAGAATAAAATATAAGATTTTCAATAAGTCTTAAAGATTCTTGGTAGCCAATAAAATTTACTCTTTTAATTGAAACTCTTTTGACTTCAGAGATGTATGCTCTTATAACAATATCATTGAACCTAATTGATATGTGTTATGCTTGTTTGTGTTTAACACAGAATGGTTCAATGAGAGAACTATTTTTTCGAAATTGTATTCAAGATTAACTGTCAAATATCAAAGGGAATAGAAGTAAGAACATATAATCTCTTGACATTTTCCAAAAGGATCACAAATTTAAGAATACATAATCTCTGAAATTGTATGTTATCTTATATAACATACATTGTTTGATGTAGGATTTATTAAAAGAAGACAGCTTCCTAGTCCTAAAAAATCTAGAAGGTAATAGATCATTGAATATAATCTTAAACATTTTTTGTTATCCTTATATTAGAATATAGTTGTATATTTTTTAAAATATTTTTTCACTCATTGTAGGTGATTAGATTTTGAACGAAGGGGATGGGTAAAGGTATGGTATTCATTCTTCAAAAATTTTATTAAACATTTATCCAGTCATTAAGAGATCTTTGCATATTTAAAAAAAGATAAATCATATGGCTTGCATACGTTTTTGAAGAGTAACATATTTCATTAAATATTCACAATAGCATAATAAAATATCACAAAACATGTATGCTTTTTGAAAATCTCTTCATTTTATATTTCATTTTGAATAAAGTATAAGCTAATTATAGGATGATTGTTATACAGAAGTATATACCTTTGTTTGATTCATTTTCCAAAGTCCTCTTGGTTTTGAATTTTCCTGTTTATTCAGCTTCCTCATTTTGTCAAATCCCTGAATTTGTGCTCATATTAGGACACATCAAAATAGTAAAATGATAAATCAGGATTTCATAAAATCTTTTCTTTATTTGTTCTATAATAATAATTTATTCTAGATGTCCACCATTTACTATATTCTAGAAATATATTTTTCCAAGATAATGTAGTTAGGGAAATATTATGATTTAGTCATGTGATAACATAAGAACCGAAATGAAATATTCCTTGGTTTAGTTCGTGGTAGAATACTACAAAAATTGTCATAAACAATGTCATTAAAAATTTAAAGAATACCTCTTTGAAAGTAGCTTTGAATTCTTTGGTGTAGGTATTGAATGGAGAGGGTTAGAGTGGATGGATTGGGTATTTGGTAGAGAGTAAAGATCTGTTAATGCAAGAGAGAATTTCATATGATATTTAAAGTGATCATTTATTACCACAAAGAGTAAAGAATTTCGAACATAGGTATTGTTGATGCATTAAATACTTAACCACTTTGCATTCAATGCACTCCCTAGCAACTTGTATAGGTTCGTGGCTCAAGAATATGGATTGTAAAATTATTTTAGCAATGTAATAATTCCTATGGAGCATTGCACAGCTGCATAGTGAATACATTAAATGCATCGTGTCATTGAGTTTCCAAATGTATCCCACCCTTACATTGCCTCCTACTTTGAGATGTAATAAAAATTATAAATAATAATGAGTAATAATGTAAGGGTGGTTTACCATTGGGATACACGAAAGTATACCTTTTGTTAATTCATTTTTTTAAATCAAATATTCTTTCAAGTAAAAAGTAAAAACAAAATTTTTTTAAAGTAACAATTAATTATTTTTTTTACGTATTTTCAATTTTTTAAAACATCTTAAATTTTTCGTTTAAATTGATAAGGTAATAATAAATATTTATTAATTTCAAAATCTATGGGCTGGGCAGTTATACTTACACTAATTTTAATTTTCAAGTAAAAATGAATTTCTAAATTTTTTTAAAAGTTTATATTTTAAATATTAATTCTGAAATCTATATGCTCTTTCCTTGATATAAGCACAATGGAGTGTTGGGTGGTGCATTTTATGCAAGACCTTTTGAAGTAAAGCATTACCTAATGGTTTAATTACTTGTCTTTTCACTTCGTTTGTCGAGACGAAATGCACAATTGGTATACTTTTTCGTGGCTCAATGTTAAGATCTCAATAATAAGCTTGCATTGATTAAGAGTTCATAGAGTAGTCTTTTCGGTTGGCATCTCAATATAGAGGCCATAATTGTGGTACTTTTTTGTGGCTCTAGGCATCAAATCTATTACACGTTTAACTTTAGTTTTTGAATTTTTTTATTTTTTCAAATACTTAATTTTTAATTTGACTAACATGGAAATTTAAATAACAAAAATTCGAATACAGAAAGTAACTAATTTTTTTTGGACTGAAACGTGCATATTTTCGGTACAAAGTTAAATTAAAGGCACTATGGTTCATAGAGTAGTCTTTTTGGTTGGCATAATTTCTTACCTTTTACGTGGCTCAACGTAATCAATTACTTGCACAATTCATTGTTCTTATGTTTTTAGTGTCTCTAGGCATTAAAGTACTTATTTTTAATAGGAAGTAATTATTTAAGAGTATTATGAGTTGTCTTTTCTCGTGGTAATAAGAGTTCATAATTATTCTACTTTTCTAATACTTATTTTTAAATTCAATCAAGTTGAGAACCATTATTATTTTAAAAAAAAATTCGTTAAGTCCATTTTCAAAGCTTAATTGTATATCTTATTTAATATATATCTCGACTTGGTTTTTTAGATTATTAATTATTTTAAAACTTTCAAGCCTAACTCGGCAAAAAGATTAAATAATTTTAATACGAGTTGGAGTGTGAAATATCGCATAAATTGTAAAAGAACAACATTCCTCTGAAAATAATTTGTGTAGTTTTAGAGTCACGGAATTTGTTAATCCAATAAGTCATTTGAACAAAAACCTAGTTTTGGCCGAAAATAACTTTTATGTGTTGTAGTTTTTTTCACTTCATATTTTTTTAAAAAAATTTGCTTTAGTTATTTCTCAATCCTATACGCAACCATATAATAAACTTGTATGGATGATTTTCAAAACATAATCCCAAACACACCATAGTAAATATTGCAAAAAATAGATAGAAATAAACTCCCGATGTTTCACAAAAACAACGGGAAAATAGTTTTGTTACATGCCATGGATCAAAAACAGTTTTGTGGACATGGTCGGAAGATAGGACAAAAAGATCCAATAGAAGCAGACAACCTTATTTATTTCCACCAAAAACAATTGGCATCTTGAACAACTTCAATCTACTTTTCAACCTTGATTGCTTTGAGTCTCTTGTCAAGTTTGTCACCTGGATTGTCTTCAAAAAGTTTCCGCTTGATAGGATCGTCTGCCTGGATTTCAATATCCTTCCTTGAAGCACTGCAACTGCTCTGACTGCCAAGAACGTCATTTGAACCAATCTACATATTTCAATTGGAAAATAACATTATCAATACTTCTTATTATCCATACTTGTTGTAATCAATTATAAAAAGCTTCTGTAAAAATGATATAATAATAACCTTTTGCACTGTTTCGCTCAAGTCTTCGAGATTCTCCCAAAAATCATCCAGATTTGTTCTTTCAACAACGTTGTTATATTTAGCCAGCACCACTTGGTTTGTCACAATTTGTCCAACACTAAAAATCCTCGATAGGTGCTTAGTCGGTGAGCCTTGTTGTTTTTTCACATGAACCTTGAAAAGAGCCTTTTGACAAATGATTCCATCCATTTCCTGCGGTATAGTGTCCGGGTCCATCTTCCTCTACACATTTCAAAGATTCCCAAGACTTCTTTTTATGAGCATGTTGCCGAAAATTTGAAAATAGGATAAGGTGTGTTCCTTTATGTTTACCTCAATCATAGCCTCCCTGAGCAAGAAAGCAGTCACTCCCAACAATTGTGTGCACTCTTTATCAAACAGGACAAATGAAGCATGACCGCTTCCACTTTCATCAACAACCCGAACAATGACCTTGTATCTATGTATTACGAATATATTTAACTCTCAATAAGCAGAATCTGAAAAAGAAAAGAAAAATAAAAGAGATATCATTTATTTACTTGTACACTCCATGCGGGATTGTCTTATCACACCCATCACACTTAAACCTCGCATCCTCCGGATGAACTTTCCTGTTACACTCGGTGCACCCAAGATAGGACCAAGAGCGCATTGGGCCAAATGAATCTATCTCACCCTTAATCCAAAAATATCCTTCCTATTAATGAATGATAAGATTCGTTAGTTCAAAAATTGCATAATCTTAGAAATGAAACAATCATCCATTTAACTTTTATATAACAATTACAATCATACCTTTTCATCGAGTAGTGCCTTGATACTTGTGATTGTAAGTGTTCCACTCTCGACATCATCAACTCCACTCAAAATAGTTGGGGTAAAAGTGCTATCATCTTCTTGATCTGGAAGCCTAAAAGAATGTGTAAATTAGAAGATGTGTGTGCGTAATAAAAAGTATTAATAATGTAATTTCTTACTTTGACTTGAACTTAATGACTTCATTTGAGACACCATCATAAACAATCTTGGTCACGTCATATGCGGTACACAGACTAACCACTCCTGCATATAATGTGAGAAGTTATGTGAGTTTTGGCTAATGAATTCAATGTAAGGAAAAAAGTTGTTAGGTACCGACCATTGAACCTCTTCACCCTGCAGAAACTTATAAGTGCCATGGAAGGATAAGGGACGTCAAGATTGACGTAATCGTTGAATTGATCAACATACTTTCCCCACAATGTGCAAGTCAAACGATCTCCCCTACAAATTTGTAAGATTAATGATTATACTAAAAAAAGATATGCTCAATCGTAGAAATATTAACGTACTCGAGATCCTCCAAAGTCATCTCCATGAGCTTTTCTTCTTTCTGTCCCCTATTGTATGTTCGCACGCTTGAACGGCCAACAATCTTTCCAATCACATCTATCATAATTATGTAATTAGATTTCATATCTTTATAATTAAGTATATGCAAATTTTAGACAGATTACAATACCTGTTAATAAAGCATCTTTCAAGACGGGTTGCTCACGAACACTTTCAAAGGAACGTAGGTCACATATGAAATCGGGAAAGCCTTTGGTACTCACTGTTTTGACATCAGTTTTGGTAAAGAATGCCAACATAAATCGATGCAGAGTTGTCTTGAAGACTTGATAGTTGTCATGAACCAATAGATTTTTGATAGCGTAAACTCCTCCCTCCATGATTTGTGCCCGATAACGCGAATTATACAGTTTCTTAAGCTGACAATGAATCCTCATACCCCGTTTTTTTCAGATCCAATACAATGACTTTTAATTAATTTTTTCGGCCAAATGACTTTTAACATAATAACTGTTTTACAAATTATACTTTGTTGTATACTATACCACCAAAGATAAAATAAGAATTATTTCTTAATGAAAAGTAATGGAATTGAAGTAACATACTTGATCGTCATGGAAAATCACCTCCATTGATTCGTTAATTCTACCAAATGAACTTATTTCGTACACACGAATTGCTCTCACATGAATGGCCATCGAGCTTCGATCTCCATCAATATCGGCAAGCTTGGTCCACATCCTGGATGAAACTGCGATGGAAGACATTTTTTTAAAAATTAGAATCGGCAGCTTGTTTTGGTTATTAAAATGGGAGATGGTCTTGCTTTTATATTCAAGGATGTTCTCTTAAAATAGAAAAATAAATTACACACTCTCCAATGTTTCACAATTAATTTTATGTGGCTCAATAAAATGCTTTTTCTCTTTCCCATTTGACGTGGCTCAATGTACATACTAATCAAGTTTGGGTAATAAATTGCTTTTTCTCTTTCCTATTTTACGTGGCTCAATGTACACACTAACCAAGTTTGGGTAATTATTATCACGTTACCCCATAAAGCTCCACTTCCACTTGCAAGCCCACTTGATAGCATGAAGGCCAACTCGTAAACACTGTTCATTTAGGCGAGAAAATGGCACTGTTCATTTTCACTACATTTGCTTTGTATATAGAAACATTTGTGTGCAAAAAGGGAAAGGATGAACCAAATAAAAAATGATCTTGTATATTATGAAAATTCTAAAGAGATGAAATACATATAATTATGTACGAAAGCAAAAGAAAAAGGTATTAGAAAGTCATGTATCAAAGTAGAGGGCAATTTCAGTTTGCAGGCATATCTTCTTCATTGAGAAAAAAAAGTTTGAAAAAAAATGTTAAATATATTAAATATATTTAATATTATTGTATTATGATTTGTTTCCATACTCGTATAACTTTCCTAGAATACCTCTCCTACCATAACTAGGATTGAGATGTTGTATATATATACATGTACTCCTCACATAATCAATCAAGGAAAATACAATTCTTCATGGTATCGGAGCCACACTAAAAACCCTAAAAATCTCTCCCCTTTGTTTCGGCCTCCTCCCTTCGCCGAAGAGCAGCGCTGCCGCACCCCCTCCCTCTTCCCTCGGCCGGCAGCTCCTCCTCTACCATGACGGACAGTGAGGTCACATCTCAATCCTCCAGCCCAAAACCTCCCCATCTTGCTTTCTCCGTCTCAAATGTCAAACTTCATGTTCCAATTCAACTTAGTTTTTCTCAACCAAACTATAAAAAGTGGAGCCGCTTGTTCCTCCTTCTTGCACGGAGGTTCAATCTCCATGGCTATCTCAAAGGCTCTATTGCTCCCATCTCTGACGACGACGACGAATGGTTCCAACTTGATGCTATTCTCCAGGGATGGATTCTCTCCACGATCACAGATGAGGTGTTTGATCTCGTTCTCTCTTCTATCACTACTGCATCTGCCCTCTGGACGATGATTCATGATTTGTTTCTCGACAATAAGCATGCTCGAGCCATGCAACTCGAGCATCAATTTCGCACCACTGTCAAAGGATCTACCCCCATGGCTGCATATTGTCAAGAGCTCACGAATATTGCGGATTGGTTAGATAACGTTGATGCCCCCGTGTCTGAGCACCAACTAATACTCTAGATGCTGCGCGGCCTCCCTGACGATCTACAAGCCCAAACTTCGTTTCTCCAATTTCAGGATCCTCTGCCGAGTTTTCTCCAAGTGCGGTCGGCCCTTCTCCTTCTCGATCAGCAGAGGACTCCAATGGGCGGAACCAGCAGCACAACGCTACTGGCAGGTCGGGACGCCGACAGCGGCAACCCACACGGCGGTGGCAGCAGCCGCGGCCCTCCTCACAGCAGCAGTGGGTATTGGTTTTTTGGCGTCAATTATGGCGATGGCTCCTCCTCCGGACAGCGTGGAGGCTATGGACGCGGACAAGGGCGTGGAAACGGCAATCGGGGACGTGGTCGAGGGCGCTCAAACGGCGGTTCAAGACAACAACCACCAACGGACGTCCAAAGTTCCTGGAACTCACCCTACCCAACGAGTAGTGATTCATCCAAGATATATATATATATATATATATATATATATATATATATATATATATATATATATATATATATATATATATATATATATATATATATATATATATATATATATATATATATATATATATAGACACACACACACCCCCCAAAGTGTATATGTTTTCGAATAGACGCAAATCATATCGTACATTCGGTTGTACCGAATTTTCGTTACAACCGGCTAATTGAGGAAGGAATAAGATGGAACAGAAGCCCGTGGAATTTCTGCCGCTCCTTTATTTGCCGGGTCGGGCCATCGGAGACGAAAGACGATGGAGCAGCAAAGACGGATGGCGATGGAGCAGAGAATATGACGAGGAGCGATGGGGGCGAAAATCTGGCGAAAACGATGGAGAAGGAAGATCTAAGGAGCACTGAAGCTGGAGGTTGTGTGGAATTCATACATGAAAATAATCATACATTTTTGACAATATAGAATTTATAATGAAAACACTACCACATAAATCAAATGAAATTACACTCCAATATGAAATTAAGGAACACAATAATACACTTATACACTGCCGTAAGATATAATAACATATATCCATTCTACATTGCCATATTAAATACTCATAGATAAAAAATGACACTGCCTACTACATAGTTACAAGTGAACAATCATACTGGCCAAAATAGTCATACTACCTCCGTCCCGCTATATTCGTCCACTTTTTAACTTTTGGAACTGTTCATCTAAGCACTTTGACTCATCAAATTCTCTCAAAGTGTAAGCCTAAATATAGTCATGTGTGATCTTGTTTGATTTGTCTTAACATATAGATTATTAATATATAATTTGTATAATTTTTTAATATACAAATTACAAAATAAAATAGATTTGTCTCCCAATATTTGAACCAAACAAAAAATTTGTCTGGTTAACTTGATTTGTCTTAACATAATTTTTTAATTCTATTTTAGTTTTTCTCCCCATATTTGAACCAAACAAAAAATTTGAAGCAAAAAGTAGCCAGTCTCCGCCTCCACCATCCTCAAACCTCTCGCCGGAGACCACCAGCCGTCTAAGCTGTCCTTTAGCCCGGAACGCCGTCGCAGTGTAATCTCTCACCCCATATCTCCGTCGCCGCTGTCAAACCCTCCGTTCACCTATAGGGATTAGGGAGTACCAATTTTGCTATAAAGTGTCATTGTTTGAGACGGTTTCAGATACTCCGTAAGATCTAACTTGGTTTCAAACCCCCATTTCCACCAAAAGAAGATAGGGCTAAGTCACTAACAGACAACTTTTTACTAAAGGCCAGCATAATATAGAAGTAATCAAGTAAATAAAACCCCAACTTACAAGGAGTGGAATGGATTGTAGAGTTCTTTCTTGTGGAACCTTTAACTTTACCCGGAATTTGGGTGGAAATTCTGGCCAAGATACAATTATTGGTCGAAAGTATTCTCATTTCCGTGCAGGTACACTGAATTTACTCCCTGCTTTTAGATCACTCCGTTAACTTGCATGTGTAGCTTTATGTCATTGTTGGTGAAGAGAATCTCATTTCTCCGTCTCTATGTTTTCATTGGGTAGCATGTTGACATGAGCTGAAATGCAAAATCTGTTTGTGTTGTCTGTTAATAATTGTTGCTCCATAGTGTAAGTCTAAAATACTTGTAATTCATATCATAAGCAGTAAAAAGTTAGAGCTATTATTTCTTTTCTTCGTTTTCTCTTTTCTGTGCTTGTATTAATATGTATGTTTACGTGTCCGAAATGGCCATTTCATACTTTCATTACTACCTTTTTTTTCTGTGCTTCTACCATGATATGATTGCTTTTGCAGGGTCATTTTGTATGACAATCAGGTCTGGAATGAAGTCGTATAGGCTGTCAGAGCTTTCACAGTCTGAGGCTGATGGACTGAAAGCTCGTCCTCGCATAAATTTCTCTTCTATATTCAACCTGGTGAGTATCAAATTTGTCAAAAGGCTATCTTTTAACATCATATTTTTTAATGTGTGTGTGTACACACACATACTCTTATTCATAAACTGATATCTTTATCCCATTTTGAAATTTTGAATTCAAAATTCTCAGGTCCAGCCCATTGTTGATGATGTTCGTAGTAGAGGTGATGCAGCTGTAAAAGAGTTCGTGCTCGTTTACATTTTTCATGTGTTTATCTCTTACGTCATTGGAGATGTTGGATTTCAACTTCTTACTAATTTTATGTGTTGGATGGGATTAACTTTAACCCTCAAGTAGTACTCCCTCCGTCCTCTTTGGTTCTTCTCATTTGACTTTTCACGGTCTCTGATACAACATTTTCTTTGACAATTAATATTTTTATTTATATATAGATATATATTACTCCCTCCGTCCTACAGTTTATGTTCACTTTCTATTTGCCACATAAACCAAGGGAGCGAAGGACTAATCTTCCCTTCTAATGTGTTGTACCATAGAGAAGTAAAGCAAAGAGACAATGCCACAACTTTATTGAAATGGAAAGAAGAAAGTAAAAAAGCGACTGGACATGTACAATGATTTTCTAAACTCTAATTGGCTAAAAAGTAAAGTGGACTACTCAAAATTACTATTCAACCAATGTCATCTCATCAAGTACACCTTCCCATACTTGGGACGCCATTGGGATGGTTTTAATTGATGAGGGTAAATTGGGAACTTCACTTAAATTTCTTTAACATTTGTTGAAAGTGGACAAACCTTGTGGGATGGACCAAAATGGAATAGTGGACAAATACTGTGGGACGGAGGGAGTATAAAAATATGTTATTTCAAATCTATGTTTCAAAATGAACCTATTGATATTCAATCTATATCACAATTCTAAGGTAGTCAAACTTGAGATTCTACGTAGATACTCAAAGTTTTTCAAATGTTGACCAAAAAAAGTCGAGCTCCTTTTTTAAATGTGAGTCGTTTAAAACATGAAGTTTCTATGTCGAGCTCCTTTTTTAGCATTACTCACTTCATAGTTGAGAACATTCTTAATCTTTAAAAGGCTATCTATTTAACTTTCAAATGATTCCATTTCCATATATTGATTTTTTTTATTAATGCAAAATGGCTTGGCGCATGCCATCTGGAACATCGGTTCATGATCGTATAATATTGCTTTCTCTTATAGTGCTAAGTACAAGTTCTGAGTACAGTACTTGGAAATGTTTGCCTAAGTTAAATGGTTTTGCTGCTCCTTGATATCAACATGAATGCCTTATTTGTACAGTGGTACTTTGGCTATTCTCCAACCCAATCGCTGCTCAGAGCAGCTTTTGATGCGTCAAAAAGAGCATTTAGATGTCAAACACTGATACACAAACAAGGCCCATGAAATTTTCAGACAATACATATTTTGTGAGGCATTTATGTAATTGTCTACTCTTTGACAGCTATACCATCCAGTATGACAAGGTTGAAGTGCAGAATGTGGTTGAAAATGTTTCTGAACTTGCTGACCCCGAGGTATAGACTTCCAATGCTAATTTTTTAAAATTTGTATGTAATCCTTAGTTCTTTTTATTGAGCTTATATGCTTCTTGAAATGTTTTTTAAGCTTTAAATTGATCTTGTTTGAGAATTGTTCTTGCCATGTCTAAATATATATGTTTACAAAGTTGACTAAATACTCAGAGATACGCTATTCAAAATTGTTTCAGCTTCAAGCAGATGTTCGTGAGGCATTTGATTTAGCATATGACAACATATATGCCTTTCATGCTGCACAAAAGCCTGCTGAGAGAACTGTTGAGAACATGCAAGTATGAAATGACTATGTACTTGAATATAGAATCTTAGGGTGTGTTTGGATAACAAAGTTTACTTTCATGACCATGTAATTACTAGGGTATTAATTACACGAGTGAGTAATTATATAGATTTTTAATTACAAGGACTGTTTCACCTGTTTGATAGTCGCAAACTCACAGTATCATTACTTCGTATGCATTTGGTTATGAAGTAGTGTATTTGAGTCTTTTTGATTAATAGACGTGTAATTACCAGTCAGTCAAACACGACGAATTACCAATCCCCTCCCTTCGATTTTAAAAAGTGTTATTGAACCCTTCAAATTACACCAATTACGCGCTTATCATATAATTACCAGTCAGTCAAACACGACGAAGAGTGTAAAGTAAATTATCCAAACATGCTCTCATTTTAAAGCACATTATCATGAACTCTTGAATTTCCACATCTACAGGGTGTTAGATGCAAACGTGTAGCTAGGAGCATTGCTTCCGTCGGTCTTTATGTTCCTGGTGGAACTGCTATTTTACCTTCCACTGCCCTGATGCTTGCAATTGTATGATGGCTTTGCTTACTGTTTCAGTTATCAGTTATATTTATTCCATTTAGATTTTATTTAGTGGATATTTTGTACTTATGCATTGATTTTGAATTTAGTATTTTTCTTCTTTGGACAGCCTGCCCAAATTGCTGGGTGCAAAACTGTTGTACTCGCAACTCCACCCACTCGGGATGGTAGCATTTGCAAGGTATTAGTTCATGGAATTGTTGTGTAAATTTCGTCATTTTCATGTAAAACAAATTTCTCGTGAAAATTGATCGAACATGGCTGTATAGGAGGTCCTTTATTGTGCCAAGAAATCTGGTGTCACTCACATTCTCAAAGCTGGAGGTGCTCAGGTTTGAGTCATGGTGGAACGCACACAATATTCTTATGGTTTTTTTATTTATTTATAATAATAGCCTTTACTGTGTTCACCTTTTTGCAGGCCATTTCTGCAATGGCATGGGGGACCAAATCTTGCCCAAAGGTACTAATTCATCATGATGACTTTATACTTCTGCTACTTTTGTCAAAGGAGCATGTTCTCTACATTTAAATGACACAGGAAGTAGCTTTTCAGAACTTTCCTTGTATGTCTCGTCTCTAGTGTGTAATGCTCCATCTGTTCTCTTTTAACTGTCCTATTGACATTTTTGATGCATTAAAATATGAATGACTGTGGGATATAGTGAATTCCTACCTTCATTCAATTTTCAAAGTATGCAAGAACTCAACCGGTCAATGAAAAGAACACGGAAAGAGGACCAAAGAAACATCCAATTCCTATGTTAAGCGCGTTCCTCTTTGCTTTTTTTGGATGTTATTTCTAGAGGGATTTAAGAGAATGTCCCGTGGTGTATGTTATTTGCAAATGACATTGCATTCGTAATCTAGATGAAGGGGTTATAGAAAGTTGATGCAATGGAAGACAGCATTAGAAGCACACGGCTTGCACATTAGCCATTCCAAAGACAGAATACCTGTAATACCTGAAGTGCAATTTTTGCGTGATACACGATTATGAGAGTGTAGAAGTTAGCATTGTGCCATTGTGGAGCAAATGGAAGCACATAAGGATAGATTCAAGTATTTGGGATTGTCCTCCAAAAAGAGGGAGAGCTGAAGGATAACATCAAAAACCATATGAAGGCAAGATGTTTAAATTGAAGAGATGCTGTATATATGATGTGACAAGAACTTCCCATTAAATTTCAAGGGTAAATTTTATGGAGTGCAACAGTGCAGGAGCAGAAGTTAGAAATTGTGGAAATGAGGATGTTGCGGTGGACATATAGTCATTCTAGAATGGAGAGAGAGCTAGTAGTTGCACTTATTTCTGATAAAGCAAGAATACTGATAATGCAGACTTCGGTTGAGGCGGTGAGGAGAAGAGGTTGGTCGGGAATGATGTGAGATGAATAGTTGACTTGTCTGCCCTAAACCTCTTTTGACAACATGACATTTGATAGGTGTTTCTGGAGCGACAACTGGTGGGGTTTTAAAGGAATGCTGTGAGCGTTAGTTGGTTATTTGATTCTTGCTTATCTAGTCACTTTCTTTTTCCCTTGTCTCTTTTGTCCTTATGTAGCTGCTTTTTGCATTTTATCAGTTGCTTCTTTTTTTGCTCATAGTCAGCACATTAACTCACTTTCGTTTTTTTTCTTCTTCAAATGTTGCAAATTCTTTCAAGTCTATCTTCTTGCAGTATTTAATATTCTTGCCTTTGCAAGAGATTCCCCAAAATTGTCCTATCCATGGGATAGAAATAAGGTTTACGTATATCTCAACATCCCAAGACCTCATTGAGTGGGCTACCAAGGTAGTCAAGATCGCGCAAGTGGTAGGGTCATGTAATTCTGCAGATTGAACAAGGACTTGCGATCTGAATCATGAACAAGATTTGCACATCATGCGACTTCTAGGGATTGGCACGCATGACCGCGACGTTGCTAGAATCAACCCAACTCACGCGAATCAACGGAAATAGAAATCATAATCCAAGAGACGGTCGGCAAGATTCTTGTGATCGACTCCTTAGGTTTCATCGGCGCACTCAAACGTTCCTTTCTTCATACTCACACAAATACTCAGGTTATAAAGAAGATTGTACAAAGCCTTCTGATTTGTGCGTTTTGCGCTCAGAGTGAGCAAGATCACCAGCTTTTGGCCTTATACTTCTACTATCAAGTTTCATTTTTGTCCTCAAAGTCCACTATACCTTATTAAGAATTAAGATTTCTCAACAAAGTACACATGTCTATGTCTTTTTATTTTTCATATGTTTTTCTTGAACCCTTTGTCTGCAATTTTTTTACCACTCTTGTTTTGCAGTACACCAATTCCCACCTCTCTTTTACTCCATTTTGTATATTCTTTATCTTTTTTAGTCAGTCCCCTCTGCACTCGTGCCTTTTACCAAACTAGTAGCAAGAAATGCTCTTGGACTTAAAAGTGTTGTGGCTTTGGAACATCGCAAATCTGTTGATGGAAGTAATAGAAAACTACTCCCTTCGTCCAAACATTTTCTTCCCATAAAAATCTCCTTTTTACCCCAACCTAATTAATTCCATCTCCCTCTCTGCGTCATTTCTCTCTCTTGCTCTCTCTCACTGCCATCTTCATCTTCTTCCACCCTCATCTGCTTCTCTAACATTCTCTTCCTCCTCCTCCGCCATATTCTTCCTCTAGCATCTTTTCCCTCTGCCATTTTCAAACCGTTTTTCTTGCCCTGGCTTCCTCGCCACCTGCAATTGCCGCCACCAAAGTCGAAGTGCCTCAAAGCTTACTCATCTCCGCTAGATCTAGAGGATCGAGCCTCATTCTCGTCACATCGGACAACCAATCTTGCCTGTGTCGAATCTCAGTGTCATATGTCATTGACGCTTCCCTCTCTATTGGTGAACATAACATGTAGCAGTGACAACGATGGGCTAAAATTGGAATAGAAGCAAACAAATTAAATTGAGTCAGGTTTCTTTATTGATTGATGGAGGAGATTTTTAGTTTTGCGAAGAACAATAGCCTTGGTTGGTTTGTTGATGGACAAAAAAAGAGTTTAGGGGTATTTTGGGAAAGTCAATACCATTTTCAACTTGTTGCAAAATAGTAACACGAGGGTTTTTTCGGATGGAGCATCACTTGGCTAATGGCTAGAAGTTTGGAACACAAGGATGTCGGTGCTTGCAAAAGTGTTACTGAGAAGGTGAAGCATGAAATATGGGAAAGCCTTGTAATCTTCATTCTCTTCATCTGTTTGCTTTTTCAGCTTACAAGTAACGACACTGTCCCATATTTCATGCTTCACCTTCTGAGTGATGAAACAAAAATCTATGAAGAGAATGAACATGTTGGTCTTAAAAGAAAAATCATTGAAGAGGTTGGTGATGGGTCTAACACTTTTTTTTATAAAAAGCAACTACTCAAGCCACCATTAACAGCATGTATTAGAAGAGTTTGAGAGAGGATGCATGTTAAGCAATTTTTAAGTTTTACTTCAACAATGCCATAACACTCAACGTGGTAAGAAGTGAAGAATTTCGTATTATGTGCGATTTGATTGCAAGACATGAGCCTGGACTCAAGTAGCCGTCATATTATGAAATCAAAATGAAGTATTTGAAACAAGGATTAAGCTTGACACAAGATATTGTGAATGGACACAAGACATTGTTAATGTTCATTCACAATGTCTTGCTCCAAGCTCACTTTTTGTTTCAAATACTTCACTCTGATTTCATGTTATGTATGATTGGATTGCAAGACATGGACTTGGATTGAAGTTGGCATCATATCATGTTATGTATGACAATGTTCGAAAAGGCGTATTGCGGTTTTGAGGCGTTTTCATTTCATGGCGTAAGGTGTAAGCCTTGAGGCGTTTTGGGGCGTAAGCCTCAATTTTAAATTGAAAAACATTCACAAAATAATATAAAACCAAAGATAGAACATAATGTATAACATAAATAATCCAAAAACATGAAAAGAGTATATTGTCAAAGCAATACATCGCAAACATAACAAAGTCTAACATGGAATCAGACATAATTTTGCTCGAAGTGATGAGCTTAAATTGAAGAATTGAAAAAAAGTTCATCAGTGTCTAACGGCTTGAAATTAGGATCAAAAGATGTTGCATTTCCTTTATTCTCTTCCTCGATTTCTTATGTTCACCTGTTTTGTTTGTGTGGTCAAATTCAAAGTAGATAACATATCTTGTTTAACTTCATCAGGAACCTTTTCACAAGGTGCAGAATTTTTCCTTGTACCAGCAAGATAATGCTTAAATCGACTAATCCCGCCTTTGACATCTTTTTTACAAAAATTGCAGTTTACATATTTGTAGTTTTTTTTGTCCTTCGATATTGGGTGTTGAGTCAACACCATACTTCCATGCTGGGTCCGACATTTAAGCAATATTCTAATTTCTAAAACAGCAAAATAAACAATACGATACTATGCAATAATTCATCTTAAAAACAAAAAAAAATTGAACAATTAGCACATTAGTAATCAAAAAAAGAAGAAAAAAAAGAGGATATTAACAGGTGGAAAGAAGACTGGAAAACGCAGAGATAAAACGCAGCTAATAAAATCAGTAATCATAAAACGCAGAACAAATGAACAATTACCCAAAACATAAAACGCAGCTAGAAAGAAAGAGTAAAGAAACGCAAACTGCAGACGGCGAAGAAGACTGCATACCTTTTCGCCGGAGAAGAAGGCTGCAGACGGCGACGCTGGACGGCTGGAGACGGTTTGTAGCTCGCCAAAAGGTAATCGACAAAGATTAGGGTAATCGACACTAATTTTGGGTAATTTTAGGATATATACACCTTAATTGGGTTAATTAATTGGAGTAATTGACAACTTAAACCTTCAATACCCAAAATTTAAATTGTTTAATTTCCAATTTCTAATGCTGGAATTGCGTAAGCCTTATTGCGCGCACCGGCGCGTACGCCCCATGGCGTACGCCTTTCACAGAATAGCGTAAAAAAACCTAAAGCGTGAAAACGGGATTAGCCTTGAGGCGTTTTTTCCGGAAAAAGTTACGAGGCGCGCCTTGAGGCGCGTTTCCGTTTCGCCTTTTCGAACATTGATGTATGATTCACTTGCAAGACATGGACTTGAATTCAAGCCGGCATCATATCATGAAATCAGAGTGAAGTAAACTTTGTTGTTTACTTCACTCTGCTTTCATGATATGATGCCGGCTTGAATCCAAGTCATTGTCTTGCAACCCAATCATACATAACACAAAATTCTTCACTTGTTGCTGTGTTGAATGCTATGGCATTGTTGAAGCAAAACTTAAACATCACTTGACATGAATTCACTTTCAAACTCTTCTTATATATGCTGCTAATGGTGACTTGAGTAGCCGCTCTTTTTTTTAAAAAAATTATTAGACCCCTCATGAACCTCTTCATTGAATTTTTTTAATGACGAACATACTGTGAATCATCTTTCTCCATTTGCTTTTTCAGCTTACAAGTAACAACAATGTCCCATATATCTTGCTTTACCTTATGAGTAACACTTTTGCATGTACCAACATTTTTTTGTGTTCCACACTTTTAGCCAAGTGATGCTTCATTTAAAAAACCCCTATGTTATTACATTGCTATAATAGTTGCATTTTAACTTTCTATTACTTCCATTAACAGATTTGCAATGTTCCCAAGCCACGTTAGTTTTCTGTCCAAGAGCATTTCTTTCTATTGGTTTGGTATGACACGAATAAGGAGGTATTGACATAATATTCCACATAGAAGCGAAAGATTAAGAATGTATAAAATAGAGTAAACGAGGCGGGAGTTGATGTACTGTAAAACTAAAAAAAGTTGCATAGACATTTATACCCTGCCAAGAAATCTTAATTGTTAATAAAGAATATTAGACTTTGAGTGCATAAATGAAAATTGATAGTAGGAGCAGAAGGCCAAAAGTGAAATGCTCTTGCTGACTCTGAGCGTAGAAAGCATAGAGCAAAAGCCTTTGTACAATCCTCTTGTAGGTGTAGAACGCTGGTATAACATGAGTATTTGTGTTGGTGTGGAACCTAAGGAGTCGATCACAAGAGTCAAGTCTAGTCACCAGTGTCTCTTGGATTTTCTGACATGTGATTCCTGTTTCTGTCCATTTGCGCGAGTTGATTCAAGCGATGTTGCAATCCTACTCGTTGATCCGTACGAGTCGTATGAAGTGCCGATCTTGTTTGTGATTCAGGTTTCAAGTTCTTGTTCGATCTGCAAAATGGGATGACTCAACGAGTCGGCACGTGATCTTGACTACTTTGCTTACTATGAGGTTTAGGGTAGTCAATTTATCATGGCACCAAGGTTCTTAAACAACCTCTCTATTTTTTAGGAGTATAATTGCGTAAATGTTAAGCCCCTAGACCGTGTTGGGATTATAGTGGGTTTGTTGTTGTTCTAGGTTATGCATTGGAATTCTCAAGGGGAATCATTTCTCTGTTTGCGTCATGTTTTATTCTCAGACAACTCACGAAAACCTTATTGTAAATAAAAGATGTTTGAGATACTTTAGTGAAGCGATGAGCATATAAAAATTGCATAATATAAGAATTTTCTGTCACGATTGTAAAATGTTTTGGGGTTTCCTGAATTATATTTATAAGACTTGTATTCCAATTCTTATGAAGAAACCATGATTAATACTAGTTAATGCTATGCTTAGGTTTGTAATTTTTAATTATTTTACTCTTTATTAGAAACTCATATTCCCTCTTGTCCTATTTAATTAGGTCACGATTTTGGCTTTTGTGCAACCATTAAAATAATTAAAACCATCTTAATATTATGATGCCTTAATTCTATAGTACTTCATTGTCCACAACAACCTCAATAAGAAATGTCAACCCTTCATCTGTACTCATTTAAATATTTAATGGAGGCAATAGTGGAAAAACGAACTTACTATGCATTGACATTATATAAATGATTTATATTTAGGACTTTCTATCATGTTCTAGTAGAAATAGAAACATAGGGAGTATGAATGTATTATATCCCGGAGTATTTAATTTTTAAACATGTGAACAATTATTATTTGTGCATGTTTTTGAGGAACAAGTCTGTGTACATGCACATATTTTTTAAATTTAATATTTATACCTTTTCTCCATTTTTTCTTGTCCTACATTAAAAAACCTGCTTTGCCATGTCTTGTCTCCAATTTTACAATTTACATTTTTTGTCTCTATGCTCTTCATAGATTGTGATTTGACAGGTTGAGAAAATTTATGGTCCGGGAAACCAGTATGTCACTGCTGCAAAAATGATTCTTCAGGTATTCATGAATGAAAAGCATCAAAAGCTTGCTAATCTTAATTCTCATATGAATTATTAATGGTTATTTCACTGTGCTATAAAACTTCAAACTCCTAGCTGTGTTATGAACATATGTGTTTTTTGGACAGAATAGTGAGGCTATGGTTTCAATTGATATGCCTGCTGGACCATCAGAAGTTCTTGTTATAGCTGACGAGAATGCTAGTCCTGTTCATATTGCAGCAGATTTACTCTCTCAGGTGAATACTGCTGGCTCAACTCTGTTTTTCAGTTTAATATTAACTTCCGACTTAATGTTGAATTCTGGGGAATTATTTGGACTTTTACAGGCTGAACATGGTCCAGATAGCCAGGTAGTTCTTGTCAGTGTTGGGGACAATGTAAATCTAGCTGCTATACAAGAGGAACTCAACCGGCAGTGTCAAAGTCTTCCCAGGGGTGAATTTGCATCAAAAGCTCTTGATCATAGTTTTACTGTGATTGCACATGATATGATTGAGGTACATTGTATACCCACTGCCTGATTGCCTTAAGTAATTGCTGATGCGCCTTACTGTTTGTTGATACCTTTATTCTACAAGGACTTGAGTATGTGTGCCATATTATCGCTTGTGTTGCTTACTTAAATACTGTCTTGGAACAGGCAATTTCTTTTTCAAACATGTATGCACCTGAGCATCTGATTGTAAATGTAAAAGATGCTGAGAAGTGGGAGAATTACATTGAGAATGCAGGTATATATTGTATATTTGGTTTTCCGGACCTTTTTTATTCCCTTGCCCTTGGTCTCACAATTAACTTTACACTTTCTTTTCCTGTTCTTCCAAAAATAAAATTTACACTTCACCATGTTTCACTCCTAGTTTAGTCCTTTTTCCAAGGAATATATGGCTCACAACATTTCTCCCTTCCTAACAAATTTTAATCATACACTTGACTTTTCAACTCCTTTCTTAAACTCCATGAAGTCAAACCGCGGATTTAATTGATAATTTTTATGTTAGTGCTTCAAATTTTGAATTGCATCTGTATACAATGTATAATTACTCCACAATATACAATGATTGCATACGGGCATACAACATCATTGTTTGCTGGTCTTTTTACTTGAAGTTCCGCAAAAATACAAAAAAATATAATTGATGAAATTAAGGCTCATTTGTTTTAGGTTAGAGCTAAATTGCCAATACTCCCTCTGACACGACATTTTACTAGAAGTTCCACATTAAAAAAAGTACTCCACTTTCTTGTCATAATATTTAATGTGCCATATATATTATGCTCTTTGAATTTTACTGAAACGTTGGTAGTATCTCTTTCCCAAAAAAAAGATTCGTGCTTGTAAAGGTATGCTTTTGTAATTGTGGAAAGCAAGAATAGTTTCACTTAAAAGACTCATGGAACCTACATTTATTCTAAACTACCTTTTGCGGGATTTTATTCGGTTGGTTGTTGTTGTATATTTGTTGGTTTAATAGAATTTATCATATTTAACCTGGTTGTAACTCTTTTTATTGGCAAATTACACAAAACATTAGCATTGTTTGATCAAAATGACTCTTTGTCTTGGACAAAGAACTTCTGAGACATATCAACATGACATTTCTTTTGAGACAAGACTAGTTTCCATTGCTTTTATACAAATTGTGAAATTCATTTTTCACAACTTGAAATAATTAAAACACTAAATACACCATCAGTTTTTGAATACTTTGCATGGCTCTTCGTGATGCATTTTCAGAATAAGTTAATGCATTTTTGCAATGACAGTGAAGTTTGACTTATTTACGATTATGCTACCGTGTTTTTCAAAATTTTCCCTCCATTTTTCACTTATTAACAACCCTTAGATTTGAAATCCAATGGACTATTTGCATTCCTATTTCCTTCATGGAACATCATTGTCATTTGGTACTCTATATATTATATATATATATATATATATATATATATATATGGGATCGACTCCAGTCAGATTACATCTTACGGTGAGATGACATGCTACGGTGAGATGACGCAAAGCTCATCATTGACCAGTGCAAAGCTCACCAAGAACAATTACAAAGCTCACCTACTTGTAAGGCAAAGCTCACCATATTTTTTCAGCACTTTGATTTCTTTTTAAAAAAATAAAATCAAAGGAAGGGGTGCTGACCCCACCAGTCTCCGGCCTCCACCACCTGCCGCCATCCCGCCGCCACCGCCCACCTCCGCGCCGGCCACCGCCACCTGCCGCCACTGCCTGCCGCCGGCTGCCGGTTTTCGGACGCCGCTGCTGACCGGTGGTTGACCGGTGTTGCTATTTTATTTTTAATTAATTTTTTAATTTTCAAAATTAAAAAAGGTGAGTTTTGGTGTTCAAAGTGGTGAACTTTGCTATATTTCCAGGTGAGCTTTGCATTGGTCATTGGTGAGCTTTATAGTGTAATGTGGTGAGCTTCGCGTCATCTCACCGAAGCATGTCATCTCACCGTAAGGTGTCATCTTACTGGAGTGAATCCCTCTATGTATAATATAATTCAATAAACTGGATTTTATTAATGAATCTGAAAGAAGGTACAAACTCTTGAATTGTGGAAAGCAAGAATAGTTTCACTTAAAAGACTCATGGAACCTACATTTATTCTAAACTACCTTTTGCGGGATTTTATTCGGTTGGTTGTTGTTGTATATTTGTTGGTTTAATAGAATTTATCATATTTAACCTGGTTGTAACTCTTTTTATTGGCAAACACCTTTGACAATAGAAGGACAAGAGCTAAATTCTAAATATTCAATATAGTTGCAGTCTTTTCTCCTATCCTCTTTAGCTAGTAAATCTGCAGGATGATTGCCCTCCCTAAGTACGTGTGACGTCCACACCCCATTTTCAATTATTAGGCTTGCCAAAATATCAATGGGGAAAGGAGAGTGAGCATGATGTCTGTATTTAGAGAGAACCTCCCAAGCGTCCGTCTCATAGATGATATTGTTATGCAATGAGAGAGCCCAATTAGTAGCCTTGATGCCCGCTTCTACTCCAGCTTGGAATGGAGAAGTACATGATAAGCGGAATGAAGCTGCACGAACAAAAGTATCTTCTTCATTTCTGAGAACCGCTGCTCCTCTTTGCTTATCCGGAGTGAAGGAAGCATCAATATTGAGTTTTATCAGTCCCCTAGGAGGAGCCAACCATTTGACAATGCGTACTTTGGCTTCATTTTTAAAGATGAGAAGAAGTTGCATATCTGTTAGCGAAGCATCTTTGGCGCGAAGCTTCTTAGGGGTTTTAGTTTTGAGCCACTGACTACATAGAGGGATATTCTATCTATCAGAAGGTCAGGATCAAATTTGTTAGCCTCGCCATATATGAGCTCATTAAGGAGCTTCCGTATGTGCCAACAGATAATCAATGACAAGTGCTTCCTAAGAAACCCATGGATATTAGCATTTCCTCTAAGCCACCAGTTCATGAAATTTTGATTCACAGTTGATGAGTTGGTGTGAGAGAAACCGAGACACATGGAGAAATGCTTCCAAACTCCTTCAATAGTTTGACAGTCTATAAGAGAGTGCTTGGTAGTGTAGGAAGAAGCCTTGCAGAATGGGCACATAGAAGGGAGATGGAAGCCAAGCTTTTGTAAGTTGTCTGGATTGGGAAGACAACCTCTGAAAAGTTTCCAAGTGAAGATTCTGATTTTGGGGTTTTGTGGAGATTCCCAATGGAATTTGAATGAGCTAGCAGGGTTGGAGACTGCCCTGCAATGATCATAGGCAGCTTTGAGGGAGAAAGTCCCATTGGGGTCAGGATCCCAATTCCCAATAGATGGAACCATCCTCAGTGTAGGAGCAAAGCTTTTCTACCTTTTCATCAATTTTCAAAATTCTTTTCCAAAGGGGTGAGTCAATCAAGTGGGACATCATATTACCCTTCCTCCAATACTTTGCCCTCATAAATTTGCTCCAGAGGCCATTGTCTTGATGGAACTTCCACCAAAGCTTACAAGAGTAAGCATCTTCCAAGGATCTAAGGTCCCTAGTGCCAAGCCCGCCCTCTTCTTTGGGAAGACACAATTTTTTCCACTAAATCCAATGGTGCTTTTTTGTGCTTCCTCCCCATCAAAACCCGTCCATCTTCTGCCCTAACAGTCGAGCAATGGACTTTGGGAAAGTGTTTGCAGCTAAGAAATAGTTTGGGATAGTATTAAGCACATAATTGATTAACACCAGCCTGCCTGCTTGATTTAAGTTCTTTTGGTACCATCCGTTCAACTTGTTGTCAAAAGATTAGATGATCTTTGCACAATGTCCACTCCTAGTGATGCCAAGATCAATGGGAATCCCAAGGTAGATGGGTGGGTTTTATGAGGCATATCGAGAGTTTTTTCCAGTTTGCTAGTCATGAAGCTATTGACCTTCTTCCCAACCATAAAACTGCTCTTATGGTAGTTTATTGTCTGACCCAAAACCATTTGGTAGTTCTTTAGGAACCTGTTCAGATTAGGGATGTACCTGCAGTGCCCAGAGGAGAGATGATGATATCAGCAGCATAGTAGAGATGAGTAATGGGAATACTCTTTGTTCCACAGTTGAACCTGTCAATTTTGCCCTCGAGAAACAGTTTATTAAGGTTCCTGGAGAAGCCCTCATTAGCAATTATAAAAAGAAGTGGAGAGAGTGGATCTCCCTGCTTGATACCTCTGGATTGGCCAAATTATCCACATGTTTGCCATTAAGGACAGAGTATTTGGAAGAGCTCAGCAGATTGTCAACCATGTGAATAAATTGAGCACAAAAACCAAGTTTGTGAAGAATGTCAAGCAGGTATGAGAATGACCATTTAAGCCTGTCAAAAGCTTTAAGCCATGTCCAGCTTGATAATGAGATTACCACCATTAGCCTTTCTATTAATGTTGTGGACCATCTCTTTTGTAATTAGGATCTGGTCCAAGATCTCTCTTCCTGGAACATTAAGCTTGTTGGCATTATCAACTTTTGGCAGAAGACAGATGTTAGAGCTAGCAGCTGCTGGAGGTAGAGGTAAGAAGACCTCTTGGCAAGCCGATGTTACATCCTGTTTTGAGTATGTCCCAGCATTCTTTGAGGAATATAGAGTTGAAACCATCTAGGCCTGCAGCAGAGTTAACATCCATCTCCCAAACAATGTCTCTGAGTTCATCTTCTGTTGGCAGCATCTTAGCATTTCATTTTGGTTTTGATCTAGCAGCCTTGGTATGGCAGACATGAAATCTTCATCGGTCCCTTGTGAGGGCTCAGGTTCATGACCATTGAAGAGACTGGTATAATGTGCAACAACCATAAACTCTAGAATAGCATTATCTTCTATAATGCCTCCTTGCTCATTCGCTAAAAAACTTATTCTCTGTTGCCTTCTTCTCTCCTTCACCAGATTGTGGAAAAATTTGGTGTTAGCATCTCCCTCTTGAAGCCATTTGAGGTTACATTTTTGTCTCCAAAACACATATTCCCTTTTGGATATATCTGCAATCTGAGCTTGCTTTTGATTACAGATAGCCCTATTATCTTGAGAGGGGTTTTAGCTCTAGCAGCCTCCCCCTCAGCTTCCTTCACCATATTGAAAAGGTTACCAAAATGATCTATGTTCCAAGATGAGAGTTTCCCCTTAAGATGGTGAAGTCTTTTAAAGAGGCTATGCATGCCTCCTTGAAATGGAACCTCCCCTCAATTGTCTCTAAAAACTTGCATGAAATCATCCTTTAGCAACCGCATATTT